AGTAATAATACGAGTTTATAGACCTTGGTTTGTAGGGTCCTTTGGTCGTCCAGGCCGACGTTGATAATGATGGAACATTTAGGTCCGGACTTGCTCGAAAAGAAAAACGGCGACCCGAAAATTAACTTTGATAAGTGTAGCAATTGACGTGACATTGAAAATAAATACATAAAAAGAACCATTACGAAATAAAATAATAAGAAACGAAAAATTACGTAACAAAAAATTTGACGCGTAAAAGAATTACACGGAAAGTAAAAACATTTCGTGAAACTTAACCGGAACACAACTTTCCACCCGATATTATTTTATTTCGAACCCCGCGGACGGGCAACGCGAAGACGGAACCGGAATAAGGAGGAGCTTAACTCTATTTGTATTACATAATTAGTAAATCGGCCGGAAAGATCTTCACTCTTTTTTTTTCATATGACCGTCAGTAAACAAGACCCCGTACCAGTAAAAACTCGGGGGACTCTCGGGGCGACTTTTGTCCCCGGAGGCCCGGAATTGTCCAAATCGTTGCGCGTTTTTAAGTCGCTCCCGCATAAATTACGGATCTTTCCCCCGTTCAAACCAACCGGTTACGATCCGGGCTAATCGTCAAAACCACATGCGTGTCCCATTGGTCAAACCCCGGCGGGTGACGTACACACTTTAGTATTTATTAAACAACAACCAGGTTGCAATTGACCGTGAGTCGGGGGTAATCGTCGTACGAAGACTAGTTTTAGATACTAATTTCAGCGACCGTTTTTATTTATCGTTATATTTTTCCTACTAAATCAATTTGGTCATTACTTTGCCGTGCATCAACCACTTCAATTCAACCCCTTATAAATACCAGTAGGTCCCGGGTTACCGTTACCCCCGTGCTTCTTTCCTTTTAATATAGTCATAACAACCAACACAAAGAATTACGTACTCGAGGTTAGTCCGGCCCGACCCTGATGTTAGTCAAGGGCCCTGAAGCTGACCGGGTGAAGCCATTCGCCCTATCCCCTGTGTGCCTTGGCATGTTTAGTTCTGAATCTGGGGACAGAAAGCTGACCAGTCCCTGAAGACCTGAGAGATCTGGATGGTTCATAATTTAGCAGGAGGTCAGAAATGTATTTTGGGCCTAAACCATTCAGTTCTTTAAAAACCAGCAGCAGTATTTTTGAAATCAATTCTTTGACACAAAGGAAGGCAGTGTAAAGATTTCTGAAAAGGAGTGATGTGATCCACTTTCTTAGTGTTAGTGAGGACTCGAGCAGCGGCGTTCTGAATCAGCTGCAGCTTTCTAATAGATTTTTTAGTGAGACCTGTAAAGACACCATTACAGTAGTCGAGTCTACTGAAGATAAAAGCCTGGACACGTTTTTCCAAATCCTGCTGTGACATTAGTCTTTTTATCCTAGATATATTCTTTAGGTGATAGTAGGCTGACTTAGTAATTGTTTTAATGTGACTGTTGAAACTTAGGTCAGAGTCCATGACTACAACTAGATTTCTGACTTTATCTTTTGTTTTGAACATTGCAGACTGACTGATTAATAGTCTGAATAATAGTCAAAAACAATTGCTAACAGAACATGCCCAATTTAATTTCTAGCTTAACACTGTAAAGCTTAGGCCTACTAATAAAGACCTTATACTGATTGTCAATTGAAACAGAAATGTAAAAATGGCAATTGTTTGTTTGTTTGTTTGTTTGTAGCCTTTATTTAACCAGGTGAAAATCCCATTGAGATCAACGATCTCTTTTTCAAGGGAGACCTGCAGCACATTGGTTACACATAAAAACAACAGAAAACAAAAAGGACATCATACAACATAATTACAGGGGTATAAATTAGCAACCTATTCACAATGACAGATATCTAATAATATTTCATCTATCCGAGTATTTCATCTATCCGAGTAGTTAAGAAGAATAGTTATTTGTATGTTTAGTTTGAAAAGCTTGAATGACCACATCTAGTCAAACTGCATTTTAATTAATATAAGGGAGACATCGAAGAGTTCTAAAACCAACCTGTATGTACTACAATCAATCAAAATACATGCAAGTCAAAGCAACTTACCGTTCGACGCTGTGAAGTCAATAGCCACCGTGAAGTTCAGTTGTGTTCTGTTGCAAAGAAAATGGTAATCAAAGAAGAAAAGATCACACACTTCAGTTCACTTAATACCAATTGTATTGCCATCACACATACACATCAACACACTAACGTTCAATATAATTAGTTTACTGGTTCACTGGATAATTAGTATGGCAGGACAATATTCCCTCCACCATCATTTAGGCATAATTAAGTCAAACAAATGAAAGTAGTGATTAAAAGTGAATGAGGTGAATAAATAGGGTATTTATAATTGAGTTTTACCAATACACATCCCCCCACCCAACACTTTGTGTGATGCTGTGAGGGTTTAAAACATTCAATATAGTAACAACTAAAATGGTGGCTATTGACACTCACTGTGAGAGCAGTCTAATTATTATTCCACTCACCCTCCTCGGATGAAATCCACAAAGGTATACTCGGACTCCACTTTGAAGGACAGCAGAGTTACCTGGCAAACACACACACATGCACACACACACATAAAATACACAAACAGAGTGATAAACAGAGAAGGAGGGTGGATAGGGACCGGGCCAGGTAGACAGGGAAGAAAAAGACAAACAGGTGGCCAGACAGCAACATAGTCAGTGAGAGAGAAGCTGATGTTAGCGGTGGTGATACCTAAAGAAATATACATGAGAAAAATTACACTGGAGACGATATTGGGCACATGAGACTTGGGTGCACTTACAGTTCCAGAATTGATGTATTTCTTCTTTTTGCCTTTCTTCTTTGGATTTAAAACCTGCCGGTGATGCGGAAAAGTAAGTTAGTGATTGAGAGTGTACTTGTAAAAACCACTTCATGCCCTGAAATGATGTTTGATAATGACTAGGAATAATTCAACAGAGTTCTGATACTTGAAGACCATGAATTGAAACTGATAAGGTTTTACTGAGAAAATCTAGACTAGAGAAAATAAAGGAAAGGTGAAAAGATTAATCAATCCAACCAGCCATCCATACATTTGTCCTAATGTAGGTTTGTACACCTATACATTCATCCATTTGTATATCAATCCACCAACCCATCCATCCATCCATCCATCGGTTTGTACTTCCATCCATCCATCATTACTAATCTGTTTAATCATTTTTTTGGTCATTATGTCAGTGTTATTATTAATTAGTTCCCTTGGAGCGTAGAAATCCTTTCACAAATTCCTAGCTCAATTACTAAATAGTTCTTGTCATGATTTTGTTTGGAAAGTGTTAATTCAAATTACCACAGCCTTTAAGACCCTTAACTTGACCATGAAGGATCCAAAATGTACTTGGTCCTTTTTGCTTTGCCTCATTAAAGTCAAATGCACATGTTTAGGTAAGAATTCAGTGTATATAACAGTGAAAGGAGTACATTACATGTACCATGTATTCATTATTGATGTTTGATGAAAATAGGATGGGTGGTCATAAAAAGATCATTACTTAATTATCATTGAGGTTTACATAAAAACCTATGATAAAATGGACAGGCCACATGTTGTCATACTTTCGTATACTTCTATTTAATTCAATTGCATTGAGTATTGACATTTCTCATCATGTATCATTACAACCAAGTAACAATTTAGCATCAAAATAATAAAAAAATGAACATTACAGGACCTCTCATTCCTGTGACTTTATTTATCCATGTGTGAAATCTTCGATTCCTTCAAAGGGAAATAATAATATCTACAAAATCTTTTCAGCCTTTCCATTTTCATCCCCTATTTTGTATTACTTCGCTTCGTAAAGCTGTTGGAAAGATTGTTTTGAGCCTGTAGAGAGCTAGCCAGCTGGAGTTAAAATATCAATTCATAATAATGAAATTTCATATGAAAAAAGCTATGAGAAACAACAAACCACCCCCCATGTCACGTCTCACCTCGTAGACATTGAACTGGTTCTGCCCTCGAGACAGCTCTCTGTAGCTGGTGGTGAACTCGCCAATGAAGTCATGGCTGCACACAAACACCCACAAAGACAGGCGAGCATGAACACATACTTCATAATCAGAGAGAAATGTTCAGGTCTTTGTCTCTATCCGCACGTCTTGCTCCATTATTGTTTCTGTCAATCTCACAGTAACTGCTTCACATTTTCACCTACAGAGTGTACACAAAGCTGTTCACTTTCTTCTAAAATTTGAGAGAGAAAGTTGATTTATTTTTACCTTCCATCTCGATCCCAGTCATAGACATCTACCTTTACAGTCCTGAAACAGAAACACAATATCTTATTTCTCAAGGTGTTCTCTGTACCACATTATCTTCCATCAATATAACGAGAATCTGAAAATGGCATTGAATTTTAAAACTGCATCACACTGGGAAAAGAGCAATTACACATTCACTGATTCAATAGCCGCACGTCAAACAGGATTATTTGCACAGCAGGTACAGGTTGTTATGTGAGCTCTGAATTAAAAAATCTATATATGCTCACTGCTTCATGGCAGTGAACATCATCTATTCAAAACTTAGACACAGAGAGAGATACAAATGAAAAATAAAGCATACCGTACAACAAGTATATATGTTACAGGCATACAGTACAAGAAGAGTAAGATATAGTGAAGTTACTGGGCTGGGTTAAAATTCAGTTAAAACATCACAGGTCTTACAAATAGCATATGGGGAATGAAGCTTTAACGTGAAGACCCACACAGTTTGCTCCTATTTATTTTTGCTGTAGGCATTGTTGGATTCAAGTTTAACTTAATGCAAATGCACAGAAATCTCCTCAAAGATAGGCATTGATTAGCCAAAAACTGGAAGTTTAATCTTTAATCTCTAATAGTTTTTACAAGGGATGTAACAATACCAAAAACTCACGTTGTATGGGCGTTTACAATATCCCCTGCTGTGGAAAAAACTCTCTCGCTTGGTACTGATGTTGCTGGGACAGCAGTGGTCGCGTTAACCGAATATTTTTTTAAACAATGACGGAAAAATCTGAAAGCAGTCTGTCATTTTGACAGATTAGAACAAACTCGGAACAGCGCCAAAGTTTCCCCGCAGCGAGGCTCTGGTGTTTGTCGTGTTATGCATCCCCTCCAAAAGGAAATGATATAGGCTATTTTCCAAACCGTACTTTGCCGTACAGATCATTGAAATGTCTGGGAGTTTGTGTTTCACGCTGTGCGCGCTCCCGCGAGGTGCATGCCTATCTCGGTGGGCATGCAT